CTGTCAAAATTATTCAGCTTAGAAATGCATCAGACACGGCGGTTAATGACCCAAACTGAAAAACAAGGGAAGAAACACAAGATCTTTTCAGTTCTAGGGGCTGAGGGCTGAATACTCTGTGCTCCAGGTGGAGGCTGGGGCAGGGACATCTGCCCACCTTCACCACTAACAGCCTCTGCAGTCTGTTTTCAGTGCCATCAAACCACATCTCCCTTATTGCACTAGTGTGACCCAGCTTTGGCATTTGTTGAAGGACGAAAATAATTTATTTTATGACCTCACTGAACTCCTGACTGAAACAATGACACAGTAGGATTTTAAAACAAACTTTCTTCTAGTAACATTTGCACCAGCTCAAAAAATCCCTCGCTACGTGTTTCGACCACATCATGAAAAAGGGCTCATTCTGGATGCTGAACAACATCCCCTGTTTGAGAGAAGCATGTTTGCTCTCTGGCAGGACACAGCTTTCACACAGACCACAGCAGACACAAGCATTAAGAATGGATTCACGTAGTCACGGAGGCTGAATGTTACCATTAGTGGGAAATTAGTACCAAATACAGAAGATACCCTGTCTTAAAAATCTTTATTTTCAATGCAGAAACCTAGGATAATGACAAGAAACCTTTAGGGAATATCACAATTTCCATAGCTTGTGATGCTAATTACAGTCATTATCAGAAAGTCTAAAAAGTTCTGCCTATTTTTTGTTCTCTGCTCATGGTGGCTGAGCTATGAGATGAACTCAAGGTGCAGTAAAAATGCTAAGCAAAAAACCTCCTCAAATCCCAAAGCCCATTTATTTTCAAACACTACTACCTCAAGTTCTTATAATAGCTCAAAAAGTCCTCTCCTATACACACACATAATCCAAGATAAATTATTTTCTAGAAGACTCAGATCATTTGAATGCACAGCAAAAGCAGTGCAGCATCCTGTTAATGGGGTTTGTTCATCGATTCTACATATTTGTTTTTTTTAGATTTAGCACCTTTTCCTCTCACCTCTTTCACCATCATTAATATGAAGAGATTTTCAAAGATTACCTGTGACAATTCATGTTCAACAAAACTGTCCACTTGCCTGCAATAGCACATATTCTTTGCTGGTCTTCTAGTTTTGGACTGGTTTTACCCCCAAAACTTTAATGAAATAAAAAGAATGCCTCTGAATTACTGCTGTAGCTACAGGGTGTTCATATGGCCCAAGGCTGGACCCAAGGGTTAATACCAGTTTACATTTCTAAGGAAGTCAGGTGTGCTGAGGAGGGTCTGTGACAACACAGGACACCCACATTCTGTACCCTCCTGAAGCTCCTCCATTAGGAAGATTAATAAAATCAGGAAGAGGAGGTCAGATAATTGTTTTAATACTTAAACAACAAATTAAAGAGAGTGCTGGAGCTGGCACTGCTCACACAAATGCTGCTTACTCACCCAGAGTCTCTGGTCACTGTTTCCCACTCACCATGGAGCCCCATCCAAAGCAGAGGTGGGGAACCCGCCTTGCCAACTCATACATTACAGCAGATTGCCTGCTGATTACACCTTTCCTCTTCCAGAAAACAATTCCAAACAAATAAGGCATAGTATTTGTCTGGGACAGCTTCCACAAACAGTAAAAACCTCAAATAAAAACATAGGTTGGGAAGTCTGGCCGGATGAGAAGTCTCTTCCTCTCCTGGTATATTTTTATATACATCGAAAGCTATTCTCACAGACTCCTGACATGTTAAAAGTGAAGTATTTAACTGTCTACATTATCCTGCCTATTTTGTTTTTAATATATCAGTGGCTCTGTAGTGATCAGGGAATCTTTCTTTTTTCCTGTGAATTTTTTATTAGGCACCTCCTAATCTCTAAATATTTAAAGCTTTATTTGTTTGACACACTGAATTAATTGACTATTAATACAAAACCTCCCACAAAGAAGCTGCAGATATAGTACCTCAAGCTGTGATTTCTTCACTTCTCACAGCCTAAGGCCTTGATTCTTCAATTACACACATTTATCTGTACTATGGTGAAGAATCCCAAAGGGAGGACTCACACTAGTGAAGTTAATCACATTTGTGAAGATCCAAGTCCTGTAGTTCTGGCTTGGGACTGCATTTGGATGAGACATCTTCAGGGAACCGAGATCTGAAGAAAGCAGCACGAGCAGTGCAGTGTTTGATTCTTCTTATGAATAATGTTAGTGTGATAAACCTGAAGGCAAAGGTGGTTTTATACCTGAAACTCAGACTGGGGAAGGCCCAGGAATGGTTCACACCCACAACCCCACCAATGGCTTCCTGACTCACATAGGAACAATGCAAACCTGGATGCCTCCATCTGTCCACCTGTAAAATCAGGGGAATGACATGGATGTACAGGACAACAACTCTGGAGTGAATAATTTAAAGACATCTCCACTGTGTTTTTCAATCTTTATATGAATCCAATGGAAAATAAGTGATTAGAGACTGTTTAATATCAATGAACGAAAACCCCATGAGAAGGTATAAATCCAAAACTGTGAACCCATCAGTCCTTTCTTAATTAATCCCACTATCCTAGCAAACTTAGTGCATTACATCTCCTAATACATTAAAAATCAAGCATCCCAGAATACTATTTAAGAACGTAATTGTGCCACAAAGTTTATTGTGACTACTGAGTGCCCTTGTGAATCAGTGCACTTGAACCTTTTTGTCATCACTCCTGTTCTTTGTAGCATAAAAAGGGAAAGGGCTTTCACCTGTCCATTACCCACACTCCTGACCTGCTGTCTCAGCACCCACTCAGCTTCGGGGCAGCCTGCAGGGCTCAGCCCGCGGACTAGATAGTCCCAAAAGGAGGGTGGTGGGAGCAGGGAGCAGTAAGGAAGCTCAGGTCAGACCAGTCAGTACATCTAAACCCACTGGAGATGCTGAACATAGGTATGTGAACGCTCCAAGAGGAATCTGTAGCCCTGAGCAGCACCAGTGAGTGCTGACAGCTCACACTCACTACGTCCTTTACACCATGACCTCTGGCCTGCTTCCTTCTGCCTGGTAATGCATCTGTTTTCTGGCAAGTTTTAGCAGATTTTAACCTATGCTCTCTGTAATGTGTATTGGTGGAGGGCTCACAGAGTGACCCTTTCTCCCACACCCCTTGGGGATGCACGGTGCAGCCCCCAGCTGCTCCAGGATCCCACCTCCAGAAGCACCAACCAGTTCCTCTACAGCACCTGCGTCCCCACAGGTGACCGTGGAGCCTGGGTTCTCACCATTCCCACATTGCAGAGTCATCTCGGGTGTTACTGTGGGAAATCTGCTGAGCAAGGGAATGCTCCTCCCCACCTCAACAGCAGGACATTTTCCAGCCAGACTTTACCAAGTGTAGGCTTCAAGTTCTGCCTCCTGCAGAGAATGCTCTTAGACACCTTCAGAAACACCTGTCCCCGAACAGTGTGGGTCCCAGCACAGGCAGCCTGCAGTGCCCATCATTAATTAAACTCCCTTCTGCTCCAGTTTTTTTTCTCACGCATCCCAGAGACACAAAAACATGTTCTGAGTGTCATCAATCTATAACTGTGCCAAACTGGCTGTTCAGGAAAAATCAAATTAATGTGAACGCTAATGAACAGCAAATCTCGGCTCATGCACACGTCAAAGGAATAAAAATACTCAAAGAGGAGGCAAATTAAAAAAAAAAAAAATCAAAGTTTAGATTAATTCTTAAAACAAGGAAGCTTTTCCATGTTATATTTATGAACAAAAAAAAGTCTTTGCATTGATGTTTTAAGCCACATAGCACCACTTTGCCTGTGTTACTGTAACTTCCACAGAACCAAAAGCAAATTGGATCCTTTGGAGCTTCTGTTATTAATCAGACATAGACTGAGAAATTCTTAAACACAAATTCAGCAATTCAAGGAAAGTAAACTGACTTAATGAAAGCAAAGTTATTATAAAGCATTGATATTTTTTGAGCCTTTGTTCACTAATGCTTATCCAAGGCACAGCAGTTTTACTCCACAAGCTACAGTCTGGTTTGACAGTATTGAGTGCCATTTCTAAACCTGAGTGCTGCTCCTAGAAACCACAGACCTTTACAAGCAGGTGTAAGGTGTAAATTGATATTCTTGTTGCAGTGCATTGAGAATAACTTCTAGTAATGACTGCTGCAAATAAACAACACTTTCTTTTCCAGGTGAAATCCATTTCCATTGCTTTTCCACTGAGCTGTATTTTGGTATGGGATTTAGGGAGTTTAATATGTATGTAATGCTGGCTGGAATTATGAAAAGTTGTTACAATTTTAATGCTGAAAGAAAAAATGGCTTAATTCTTTACTGTAGTCAGCTAGCCTGGTTTACAGAATACAGTAAGAAATTACCACCACATCAACACTTACAAAAACAAATCCAAAGTTCTTTAAACTGTCAATTTAAGAATATGTGGAGTCTCTGTGATACAGACATGAGACCTGACCACACTGTATGCAGTCCAGCTTTAAAGAATAACTCCATTAAATCTGCAGACATGTTTTCTTTCATTGGTGATTAATTTTTTCCCTATCCCCAAGGGAAACTAATGGGAAACCTCTTTAATTATTAGAAGATATTCAAAACTACATTACAGTATCACTATGTGAATATAGGACAGATTCAGATGACAACATTTCCAGCTTTGTAAAACGCAATATTTCAGAAAAATAAAACTTATTAGAATACATTATCACCACACCTGCCCATCCAGGTTATGTTTGCAACTCTGCTGCTGATTTAAGGCGGGACTTTTAGCAAAATAGTTACATCTGTTTCCCCATTTGTAATTGGCAGCTACCAAAATGTCTCTTCCTCATACAACTGAGGACACACAGAATCAAGTCAAGCTGTGGTGCAGAAGCAAAGACATGCCATGAAGACAGTTGCATCGTGGATTAACTTTTCTGTTTGTAAAGTGCAGGGTATCAACAGCATGGACAAAAAAAATGAGCCCTTGGAAAAAGATAAGAGTGAGAGCAGAATGTCTTGCACTAAGGTTATGTATTTAACAGTTTTACATGAAATATTCATATATAAAAACTTTAAGTGCTTTTCTCCAATTTAAAAATCTAAAGAATTCAAAAATAAGGCATTCAATATTTGAAAAAGTACAGATTTACAAAATGTGTATATTCTGTCATGAAAACTCCACACCAACATTATACACTTGGAAAAAAAATACAAACAGGATATATTACAAATTTATGTAGCAATAACTTAGTTCTTACCATGCAATAAAAAGGACGTTAATTGAGATACACAAGCTTTTAGCTTTCCCTAAACTGAAGGGCTTAATTTTGTTTGCAAATGAGCTTTTATGCAAATTCATAGAACTGTGGCACTTGAAATTTCTGGTAGCCTTTCTATTGAGGGTTAAATTGTACATAATGATTATGAGGATGGAGAGTAACACAGCAGCTGTTACGAATCATTCCAACTTTGTTCAACAATAGCTGAAACTCTTTTCTCATATTCACGTTTGTTCTCCTGGTAAAGTTGTGCTGCCTGACTGTTTGCTGGACTGTTTGGATTGGGTTCATCAAGCAGAGACTGGAAAAAGGGGAAAACATAATGTGAGACAAACCAACACATGTAAATCAAGGAAAAAAAAAAATCAGCTTACTTTCAAGTCAAATGTGTTTCAGAGGCAGACACAACTCAGAACGGCCCAGTTAAAAAACTTAGTTAAACTCATGGTTAGGCAGCCCTAATTATATTACTGACCCTCAAATTACACCCTGACTAAGCATCAGTGCTGCACACACTTGAAGCTCCACAAACAAAACAGAGATAGTTTGTGCTACTCAGCACTACAGAGCTAACTGACTATTTGGTAATTACATTATACTGTCATTCAGGACTAAAGAGGGGCTAAGATGTCTCCTACAAAACATCACTGTTGAAAAATTAGAACAATTACACAGAAGCAAAGGAATTGTGCATTCCACTGTGCTAGGCCATTTTTCCTTATATGTAGTGTGTTTCAGTAATATCGTCCCTTTGAGGGCTTCACAGTAAAGTTAAGTGTTTCAAACACAAGGCAAATTTCTGCATCTGATATCCTATCTTGAGTAAAAACAGCTAAAAACTAACACAAACCAGTAACCACTTTCCTGTGCAAAAATATACAATGGCAGTTTTGAATCTTAGAATTAGTGATTATGTAGCATCTTTATTTGATATAAAAATACTGCTTAGTTCATAAGGATTTGCAGCTCCCCTTGATACAGATACATGGCTACTCCATCACTGAGCTGTGAATTCTGGAACAGAGACCAACAATAACATAATTATTTGGTACAACAGATGCAAAGTTACCTGAATTGAAGTTAAAATAGATGAAACATCATATGTTGGACTCCAGCGATTCTGAAGAATATCTAAACATATGCTGCCATCTGCATACACTGTAAATACAACACAGGTATCACTTAGAAACTGTCAGATTTATGGCACTGTTGAGGGCACTTATTGTTCCAATTCAGCCTGTGCTTAGATTAATGCTTTAGGAAAGAGGACAGCAGTTTGTCTTACCATCTTCTGTGGCTTGACATACTTTGAATTCAGATTTATTACTGAAATTAACAGAACACCTAAGAGGGAAAGAAGGAAGGTCTGGAAATTATGGCATTAGCACAGGAACGGGCAGACTTGGTGTCCTGCTCCTCCAGTGTGACTGACCCACACTGTCACAGCAGAGAGGCCTCCCAGAGAGCAGCAAGGCCTTCACTGCAGGAGTGGCACCACTCCCACCCTCACTCCACGAGCAGGGACAGCTCCTATCCCATTTCCACACACTCTACACTCACTATGAGAGGCACCAAGGCAGACTGTAGAAAATACGGAAAAGTGACTGATCCTACTTCTGTCTGGATACCTCTCAGTCTTATGGAGTTCACATGAACCTGAGACTTACTGCTCAAACTTCTACACCCTTGTCTTCCAGCTTGTTCCCAACAAATTACAGACCTTGTGGCAGAGACAAAGTGGCCTGCACAGTATGTGAGGCATAATTTCTACAGAGGAGCAGCAGGCAGGTTTTTTCTGCACTCAGTAAAACCTATCAGTGCTGGGGGAGGCAGCACAGTGCACTTTCATCACTGCCCTCATCTTTGAGATGGGGTCAGACACCTCTACAACTGAGCATCCTCATTTTCTTCCCTGTGCTAGTCCTGGTAGGCACAGAGCACCAGATGAAAGCAGGGACTTGGGTGAAACCTCACCTGGCAGGGAATAATTAACACTTGGCCCCATCAGCTCCCTGCAGCTCATGCAGTGGCTGCACAGACACGGCTGCTGTTAAATGGAAAGGGACAGGAATCTGCAGCCAGAACTCCCTCTTTGAACCAACCTAAGTGCAGCTGCTGCTGAAAATACTCACAGGCTTTGCTACTGAGGCTACATATTGATTACTAAGAGGCAGACAGCTGCTTCTTAATAGCACCATAACTCTCAATTTTTCGTCAAGCAGTTGCTGTCCTAGACATCTACTTTAGGAGATGCAGTGAAGAGAGATTAAGCATTCTGGAGCTTCAGAGAATGCATGACCACACTGTAATATCTATTGAGTATTACAGCTAAATAAAGACGGTTTACTCACCATTTGGATGGAACATTTTTGATAAAAATCTAACAGTTGGAGGCTTATTTGGATATTCTTCGGAAAATTCTATTACTAGTTTAAAAGTACCTGTCCAAACAAAGATAAATACAATCAGATAACTAACAACAAAAGACCATATCCAGGAACATAGACAAGAAATTAATTTATGTGCTCCATGACCAGCATTTCTCCTCACCGTTATATAAAAAAGCAACAGTGAATCTGATTGCTTTTCATAGACTTCAAGTGATAATGCAACTATGGAACTACTGGTTAGAGTAATAAACCCTGCAGTAGTGGTTGGGTAGGAGCTTGGAGACTCACTGCATACATGGCAAAGGCAGCCTTATCCAACATTATCCCACTTTTCCACGACCCAGGTATGCTGGGTCCATGGACTTGGGTGACTTTAAGGCGTTTCATTAAGAAGGCATTGTGGTGCCATCAAAGAAACACTGGAATTTCATAATCAGCAATCTCAGTCTTTGGAGCTCAAAACTTATTCACTGAAAACCTTTGTTATGGATCAGTGAATAATTTACTGTAATTCCTCCAACCCAACACAGAGAAAAACCCATCTGCTGCCAATTACTGTAATAATACCATAATTATTAAACTCATTATTCCTCATATGCCTAAGGGAGGGTCATTACACACTAGCTTTCATGTTTATGTACAAATTTGGGATTCCCTCAACCTCACTGAGTTCTATATTGAGAACACCTAAAGGTTTCTCACCTGTTCTTCATTAGGAGAACAGTGATGAATCAAACATGCCAAAGATGAAATGAGAAAAGCTCTTGTTGAGCTCTGCTAAAGAGATGTGCAAACACACCTGGCAGTGTAAGTCCAATAAACCCTGCTAAAAGCTCTTGTGGGCATGTATGAAAAAGCCTTGATAGAAGCATTGCTTCGTAGCTTTCTAATCAACCATGAGCCAGTGTGATGAGACACTGCTTAGATCAAGATACGTATTTTTATAGCCAACAAGCCTCATGGCTTCACTTACTTGGTTTGTTTCAAATTATACACAGATAACATCTATTATTTTTCAGACGCAGAACAATGTTAGTACTGGCAACATTTATTAGAATGACAAAGGATACAAAAGTTAGCAACTTACCATCTTCAAAAGGTGTCCCTTCTGGCCTGAAAGGTTTTAAAAAGAAACTCCAGTTAAAAGTGATCATTACCTACTTGCACATAGGCACAATAGATGTATATCTTCTTTCTCATCCTCTCCAAGATACAGGCAGAAGCAATAATTTAAATTATTATGGTTACATCCATAGGTAACCTCTGAGAGCTTTGCTGTACCTAGACACCTGCTATTTGGGATATCTACTTTATCATCATCCCAAACAATATACATGCCTTTAGGTGACTAGATTGGAACAAATGAGGAGATTATTAGCAAGCACACTTCAGTTTTAGGAAAGGATACTGTCACCTCTTTTTCCACAGGATATGTAATGTAACTTCCCAGACAGATCCTGCACCTTGTCCTACTAGGATTCATTTCAATCACTAATACATCTGGATTTAATGGCTGAGAACATGTGGCACTTATGTACTTTAAAGAGGAATTCTGCTTTTTCATAACACAGTATAACCTATTTATTAAGCCACATGCAAGCTTTATTCAATAACAAAGCTAAACAAATTAAAAATTTAATTTTTTTTTCCTTCCTAACCATTCCCTGTTTTGGACATTTTTAAAAGTTTACTGACTTTACACACATGAAACAAGAGAATAAAAAAAAAATATATTATATTTAGCCCTCTAATACTGAATTTCATAATGATAAAAACTTACCCAAATATAACTGCATTCCATTGCATTATGTTATTCTCAGATGGTGCACCACTGACACCCACAGGAGGGTCTTCTTGCAATCTAAGAATTACATAGAATCACAAGTCATATATATGAAATACTTCCACCTGCAGATATAATTTACCAGTAATATCCACATTTTATACATATTTTCTCATTCCAGATCAGAAAATACACAAAGCATTACACGCAGATTATCAACGCTCTGAGAGACAGACCTACAAGGCAACACACATCAAGATTTTCTCATGTTTTACATGGAGACACAAGGGCACAAGAGGTCTGATTAAGTGTTCAGGGAGCAAAGGATTAGCTGTAAGAATAACTTATAGCACCACGGACAGCTGAGATTTATGGTGCTACACTGTGAACTATGAGAGAGCAACTGCTGCTGGCTGCCACAGTGAATTGGAGAACAAGCTGCAGCCACAACCAGGAGCTGAAATCCAGGCAGTGACACACAAACACAGAGCACTCTTGCTGGGACTCGAGACAAAGGACCGTCAGTGGAGCTTTTCCTGCATACCCAGATCCATGCATGACAAGTGGCTAAATTTGGTATAAGCCTATTTCAACTGACAAGCTGATTGCTTCAAAAGGGAGCAAAGGGGAAACCTGTGTGTTGCTACTCCCTCTCACCAGTCCCACAAATGTGTTTATCTCTAAAGCAATTATGGGAACATGTGAAATTATTTTTAGTTCCTTAATCCTTGGACTAGGGAAAAGCATGTTACCTACTGAAAGCTTCACAAACAGAAATACGTACTGCAGCCAGAGGGCAGGATCCAAATGCCCCCCCTGCCCATCACTGCCCCATATTAAGGATCACAAGACCCTGATGAATGTACACCAGCAGGCCTCAATCAATCCACCTGCTCAAACCCCCTCAGTGACAGCTCCTACTCCCTTCACCTGTTTTGCCTCCGGAGTTATCCAATAAGAAAAATGCAGTGACTGCCCTTGTGTCACAAACAACTCTTGAGTGTTACCATGTGGTTCAACAATATCACAGCACACCTATAAACAAGTCACTACAAAAAGCTCTGCAGACCAAGGGACAAATTCTCACTAAATGCCGTATGCAGATTTATTGAGAGCTGTCAGCAGCACAGCCAGGCAATCCTCCCTGCCCTTGCACTGCCTCAGCCTGGGGTAACACCGTGTGTTGTCCAAGGATGCTGAGCAGTGGTGCTGCCCTGAAGCTGCTCAGAACCCCTTTAAACTCTGTGTTTACATCTCTGCTCTTTGAGCACACACAGTCCAGACCGCTGAATATCAACAGCATAAACCACCTACTATTTTGGTCAGGGAAAGCAGGAACAGGACTTCTTCCTACGTGACAGCCAGGCTGCAGGCCAGCAGCAATGCCTGAGCGTTCGCCTGACAAATGCATCTGGGAGATGACTTTGGTTTTTAGATCAACTTCAAAGCATGTTTGCACCCTACTTGTCACAGGGTCTAACTACAGAAAGGAACTGGCAAGGACTGCAAATAGGACTAATCCTGAAAGTCCTAAACATGCAGGGAAAATGTGGTTTTAGTACGTCCTTTTTATCAGCAAAGTAAATAAATAACCTTTTATTTCTTTTGGTTTATTCAAACAAATTAGAGGAGGTAAGAAATCTGCTGAACTCTTCTCTCTTGACTGCTCCTGACAATCACAGTATGCAAAAGCAGTTTATATTTATTGAAGTGAATCAGAGTTCACAGCACACCGTCTGTTCTTTCAGTATGAAGTACAAGTAACATAAACAAATACACAACTTGCAGCACAGAAGAGCAGAGTAAGACAAAAACTAACATGAAAAAGTTACATAAGTTTTGGAATATAAAAGCTGCTATATATATGACTAATGGATTTTATTTACATTGTCTACTTGGTTATATTTTTCCACAGCTTTAGAGTCTTCCCTCAAGCCTTAATTCCAAAATTATTAAACCAGTCCTTGTAGGAATATGAAGGCATAAAACCCACATCTGATTGCAATCTTGAAAAATTGAGGTAGTCAGCCCGAAAAAAAAATCACTGATTCATCTGTGTAACCAAATACAATAAAAAGTCTGAATATCCTGTTTTGATTTGAACAGGAATCAAGCAACACCCACTTAACAAACACCAACACTCGCACAACAGCAGGGGAGGGCTCCACTTCCCAAAAACCTCCTACTGCTTCTAGATTCACGAATCAGATTTTTGTCGCTGTTGCTGTTGTGCAGCCACGTAGAGCAACTACAATACACGTCAAGTGTTAACTGATGTGTTTGCAGGGCCTGGTATAACATAGCCATGCTAAAAAAAGAGACACTATCAAAGCTGACTCACCTCCAACTACTCCTGAGTGACCCAGCCTGGAGAACTCTTAATGTACATCTTACAAGGAAGCCTCCCACCCTTTTCCACACTCTGCTCTAAGTATGTTTACGTGTCAGACTGGAAATAATTTATTCCAGAGTCAGTGGTTCAGTCATTAACATTTAAAAGAGTGCAACTAATAAGCGCTCCTTTAGCAGTTCGCATATATTACACAAAACTCTTCATGATTGCAAACTTTAAACACAGTATCACATGATTGTGCATAAAAACACTAAAGGTCATTTTGGCTCCTATTACATACAAACGAAGCGTTCGCCAATTCTCTGCGCTTCGTTTCCAGTGCCTATCGCTACGAAAATCTTTTCAGAGCGATCCTCCGACCCAACAAGCCTGGAACACTTCTGAATTCCGGCTGAGCTATTCCAAAGCCGGAGCCCGCGGGTGGCGGGGCGCGGGACGGGCACGGCCGTGCCAGCCGAACCGAACCGAGCCGAGCCAAGCCGGGCCAGCCGAGCCGAGCCGAGCCGAGCCGAGCCGAGCCGGGGTCCCCCCGCCAGCCCGGCGGCCCTGACCCCACGGGCGCTGCCGGCCCGCCCCGCTCGCAGCTCCAACTTCTATCCTCAGACGCCCCCAGCCGTCGGCGCCGGCCGAGCCGGCTCGAACAAAGCCGGCGCTGCCCCCGCTCCCCCCGGCACCCGCTCCCCGCGCCCCTGCCCGGGCGGCTCGGTGCCAGCCCCGGGCCCGGCAGAAGGGCGCGGGCAGCGGCGTGTGCGGGCCCCGCTCACCTCTTGAAGTCGCGCATCAGGCGGCGGCGCGCCGGGGTGGACATGGCGGAGCCGCGGCGCCGCCTCCCGCCCGCGCCCGCTGCGCCCGCACAAACAACCCGCAATGGCGGCGCGCGCGGGGCGGGGCCGCGCCGGCCGCACCACTGCGGCACCGGGGAGGGGGGGCGGGACCGCACCATCGCGCCGCGCGGGGGGAGGCGGCGGCTGCGCGCTCGGCGGAGTTTGGGGAGAGGCAGCGGGAAAAGGGACCGGGAAAGAGCCGGGACTGCCGGGAAAGGGGCTGGGACTGCCGGGACAGGGTCCGGGAGAGAGCCGGGACAGGGTCTGGGAGAGAGCCGGGACTGGGACTGGGACTGGGACCGGGACAGGGTCCGGGAGAGAGCCGGGACTGGGACTGGGACCGGGAAAGGGTCCGGGACTGCCGGGACAGGGGCCGGGACAGGGTCCGGGAGCGAGCCGGGACTGCTGGGACAGGGACCGGGACAGAATCCGGGAAAGGGTCCGGGATTGCCGGGCGGGACAGGGACAGGGACCGGGAAAGGTTCCGGGAACGAGCCGAGACTGCCGGGACAGGGTTCGGGAGAGAGCCGGGACAGGGACCGGGAAAGAGTCCGGGAGAGAGCCGGGAGTGCCGGGACAAGGGCCGGGACAGGGTCCGGGAGAGAGCCGGGGGTGCCGCAGCCCGGGAGTGCCGGGACAGGGAGCAGGAAGGGGTCCGGGAGTGCCGCAGCCCGGGAGTGCCGGGACACCGGGACCGGGAGCAGGAAGGGGTCCGGGAGTGCCCAGCCCGGGACACCGGGACCGGGAGCAGGAAAGGGTCCGGGAGTGCCCAGCCCGGCGTTGGCGGTGCCGCAGCGCTGCCCGGCGCTCTCGGGGCGTTTCAGCCCGCAGTGGGGCAGGCGGGGTTTTCTCCTCGCCAGACACACCAGCTCACTGGGATTTAGCTGAACGTCTGCAAAGTACAGAAACTATTAGTCGTGGTCAGATTGCAAGGGTGTACATTTCGAGTCTTCTATGCTGTGTATTCAGCCCACTCCCACTATTTGCAGTAACTGGAGGTTTTAAAAATTTAGTTCTTATCAAATTTTAATTAGGGATAATGGTCCATTTTGCCATATGGGTCACTCAGGATCTCTCGAAGTTCCCTCTAAATACAGGCTGATGTCCTGGCTCTCAGCCCTTTTTAAAAATCCCATTACTCCAACAGACAGAGCAGGTCTCTTTGAAGTCATGACCCAGTTCTTACAAGCAGTCTTGGAAGTTATCCCTGAACTTGGATTTGTGTGGTTACATGTGCCTCCCTGCTTTTTTTCCCAGATTATTTTAAGGAGGTCAAACCATCATGGGACTTATAATGAAATGACAGAAATAAACACTGCCTGTCCATTCCCTTTGCCTCCAGCCATCCAGGTGGTGGAACAGCATCAGCCCAGGGTTTAACAGCACAAAGCTCAGTACTGCTTTTTCACCAAGTTAATGCCAGCCCTGCTGCAGCAGCACCACTGACTGGGTTATTTATATGATGAATTCACATTTCACATGGGGTGGAGTTTAACTCTGCAAAGATGTATTCAGACCACTTTAATCCAATGTCCTACCTTAGTGAAAATAGTCAGATGGCAAAAGTGAGGAATTCACACAAAGCCTGGTAGTGCAGGGGAGCAAGCTTTTCCAAAAGACTTGGTAATAAGAAACTATAATACCTCAGCCACCAGAACATTATTCCCCACACTAGTGAGGAATGGCTCCTGGCAAGCAATCCCCTCCTCTGGACTCTCCTCCTCATCCTCCCACCACACACATTCCATTTTTCATTAATCATAAATAAAATGTTATTGCTTCTAGAGCACACCTTTTCTTTACTGTTGTGATTTGTCATAAAGATATCAAATGTGTTAATTTTTTAATTAAGAACAAGGATTAGTTTTGTAGTTTAAGGCTTCCAACTGGTATGAAGTTACCTGCACAATTGGAAACTTGGACTAGATGATTGAAGGAGGACTTGGGTAGCAGCAATGCTGCCCCAGAGAATTCGGACCCTTCTCTGAAATTTGGAAGAGCCAGAAGTATTCAGTGCTTTGCATTTCCACCTCGTCCTTCTCCTTCACTCTGTCTTCTGTCTTATAATCACTTCTGGTTTGTCCTGCTGCTGATGGGTTGGGTACTGTGCCGAAATCTGTACTTTGCTGTGCCAAAATCCTGCTCTCTTTTGCTCATCACCTACATTAGGAGTTGCTAATTGCAGTAGGATCAGGACATTGATGACTTTGGGAAATGAGGGCACTCTGTGCCTCTGAGTCAGTCCTGATGTAGCAGGAGGATTTTTTCAGCCCATGCTTTCCTGCCTTGAGTACTTTTAAAACAAACAGAATCTGCTTCTTATTAAATGTATTGTTTGGTTTTGTTGATTTTTTTTCCTTTTTATCTTTCCCCTTCCTTTGTTATACACCATGATTTAATCTGAGAATATTTTGTTAACACAAAGTGGAATTACTAAACTTTCTGATTTAGGTTTTGCTTAAGCATGAGCTGCCCGTGGTGATGTTTACACAGATTATGTGCTTACACAATGGTACAGGGCTCCTTAACTGATTTCAAGAGACCGTACACATAAAAAATATATGTGTAGGGCTTTTTGGAGGGGGATGGCACCTCTAATTCAACCGTATAGAAAAAGCAGTTTCTTGCACATGAACTTCTGGATACAGTGCTACATTAGCAAAAGGAAAATAATAATATAAAAGCTAAATTTAAATGGTGACATGTAATATGGCTACATTTAAGGTCAGAGTTACCATTCTGTTCTTGTTCCAGATTCAGTCAAAGAAGTGCAAATTTTGTCTTCAAAAATAGCAATTTTATTCTATAAACCAAACAGCAGACTTGTTTTAAACCTGTAGAAGATGGTAGTCTTTTTTATTCCCAAGTAACCTGTGCCTGTTTGCCCTGCAGATGGTTTTCCATATTGCCCATATCAAAAATGTCCATCACTGCTGGCACTGAGCCCCTGGATGATCAGTGACAAGGGCTCTCTATGGAGCCATGTGAGAGAAAATGCTGGAAAAGTGAGGAAACAACAATGTGGAACTTTGGAGACATAACACACATGGTTAACTATGTGGTAACTTGGAAGTTTTTCCAAGTGTGTACTTAATTTCCACTAAAGACTTCATAAAATTCTGTTATTGTCCACCCACTATTATGAAATTCTGTAGAGGTTTGGAATTGTGGAGCAGTGAGAAAACTCCTGTGCTAAGTCATGGTCTCACTCATGCTTTAGATATTGATTATTATTAGTAGTAGTAGTAGTAATTATAACAACAGTACCCTGCAGCAGTTATGGTGACAGTGCTGAACTATAAATATGGAGGTAAATAACAAGCCAGGATAATTCCCTTAGTCCCAAACCTCAGATAGAGTTTATAGAGCAGAATGAGTCAGCAGGAAGGATTCTTCTCTGAGAGGAAGCACAGGGAGGAGAACAGCAGTGTTGGATATTTGGATTAATTTCAGTTTTGAAGACAGTAGGCTTTTTGATGAGAGATTTGCAATGTATTTTACCAATTCCCACATGGATACAAAAAAAGAATACGGTATACAATCTTTATATCTCTTTTAACCAGCTGATTTATTTTCTGTACGTAATGTCCTGTTTGTCAAGCAGCTGGATACTTCCAAAAAACACTTGGAGGTTTTTATGGAGACCAGGATTTTCAGGGTTGGTACTTGCTGAAGTTCAGGATCCTAAAATATGCAAGGAAAAGGTTTCCCTTCACTGCTTTACTTTAAATCCTATTTCCTATTAGAAATCCTATTTCCTATTAGAAATCCCATTCAGTTGCAGTCTGTTGCCCCAAAGTCATATGGGGAGTTCACAGGGTTTAATTGGGTTGTCCACACTTGAAGAATGTGGCATATGAGAAATTGCTAATTAGAGAAGTTGGGATTTTCAGAAATGCCAAGGAGATTCAGAAGTGTAAGTGCCAGTCCACAGTTTTCTAAGTATTTCAGTTAATTTTAATTCACTGATGTCATAATTTCTATATTCACTGAGATGCAGTTGCAGGCACTAATGGTTAAAAAAAAAAAAGTGTTGTGTTCAGACATTGAATTTTGTTTCCCCTGATGTCAGTCGGAATGGGAATGGATTTAAATTTTGCCATTTCCATTAAGCAAAATCAAAAATCCAATAGGCAATTTCCTGCCATAAAAAGATCTGAGAGAACAGATGGAGGAAGAATAATCTAATTGAGATGCATTTTCTTTTTTACTAGCTTGCTCTATTTTATTTTTAAGAACTTACCTAAAATGTCTTCTTCCACAAAGATAGCTTGTTCATTAAGTCTTAGAATAAATGACAAGCAAAAAGCTTTTTTACAAATCCAGAATGCTCGTGGTGATAGCAGACATTTTTAATAACTGATTAACACCACGAAAACTCAAACAAAAAGGGTGAAGCACTCAGTTGAAGACAGCCCAGTGAAGCTTTCACCAGCAGCAGGCTCTTCTGACTCATTCTTTCTATTGCAATAGAAAATGCAGTTACTGCAGAGGAATGAAGGATCTCATTCATTTCTCGGGAAAAGGAAAGACCAGAAGCCAAGTTTTCCTCCCACAGCTCAATTATAGAAGGGGTTACTCCTTATCTCTCTTGTTCTGTCTTTACAAATCTCTGATAGCTGTAGTGGGACGTGTTAAAATCTCCAGAGTCATTAATTTTGTTGATGATAGATTGACTTAGTGTTACAGATACATTTTCAGAAGGTATTGAGTTAAAAGAATAAGTTTAACACTTAAAATTAAATGGAGCTTTGGAGAGAAGAGAAAGCAATTTATCCATTAGGCTGTTTAGATTCCCTAGAAGTCTTTATAACCCTTCAAAATCCTTCACAAACATTTTGGAGCTTTCAGGAGGATTCATCTTATTTTCTCTTAGTATGCTTATTTGGGTTTCTTTTCCATGTAAGATGAATCCCACACAGGCAGCATAAAGGGATTATAAAGTGCTCCCCTTCAGAAGTGGCCAGCACCATCCAGCTGTGGTGGGTGGAAGCTAAATAGAAATGGA